AAAATCTTTGGCGAAAAAGTTAACAGGATGGAGGAAAAAATGGAAGTTCTTAAAAGCGAAAATTTAATTTTAAAAAAGGAAATAGCAGATATTAAAAGTGCAATGACTTTTCAAAATGAAATGTATGAAAAAGCGACTAAAGAATTATACGACTTTAAAGAACATCTTAAACACAACACGAAAGTAGCTTTAAACAATTTAAAGAATTTAAAGATAAACTTGCGGAAATTGAAGACAGAAGCAGAAGAAATAATATACGATTTGATGGCTTTGAAGAGAAGGAAAACGAAACGTGGGAGGAAAGCGAACTTAAATTTAAAGTTTTCTTAAAAGAAAAGCTTGGCATGACGAACGAAGTATATAACGAGAGGGCTCACAGAACAGGAAAAAGAATGAAGTTGGAATGAAAAAACGAAGAACTATTATTGCAAAATTCTTATACTATAAAGACAAAGAAAACGTTTTAAAAGAATACCGATTACTCAAATTATGGAACGAAAAAATATTCTTGAATGAAGATTTTAACGAAAGAACAAGAGATAAACGGAAACTTCTTTTTGCAAAAGTTAAAGATATTCGAGCCACCGGTATGCTAAAGTAGTATACAATAAATTAGTTACACGCGAATTTTTAAAAGAATTAATTTTTTTTATTTTTGGATTTCAAATAACTAAAATGGATTCAAATGAATCTGTTGATTTTCAATCAACTTTATTTAACTTATTTTAAACTAATGATTTTTTACTGGACAGCAATAATGACCCTGACCTAAATATTTTAGTGGAGCTGGTGCTTTAAAAAACAAGTGCAGTTGTTTGTATGTCCAAGAATTAGAAAAATTTCTTGAACCGGATAAGTTGAATGTGATTCATATAAATATAAGAAGTTTGAAAAAAAACTTTAAAAATTTTCGTAATTTAATTGATGAAACTTTTAACATTTTTAGCGTAATTTGCTTAACAGAAACTTGGTGTGATTCTGATGACGTTTATTCTATTTCTAATTTTAACTTGCCTGGATATAAAATGATTTCATTAGCGCGTAAAACCAATAAACGTGGTGGCGGCGTGATTATTTACGTAAAGGAACGCTTGAAATTGTTAACCAGGCTTGACATGAGTATCTCTGATAGCAATAAAGAGGTTTTATCAAATGAATTAATTATTAAAAAAGCTAAAAATATTATAATTAGTTGTTGTTATCGCCCACCATCTGGTGTAATTGAAAGTTTTAGTTCATATTTACATCATGATATAATTAAAAAAACCAATCATGAAAAGAAATTTAACTACTTAATAGGTGATTTAAATTTATGTTGCTTCGAATATCACGTAAAACCCAACATTAAAAGTTTTTATAATGACATTTTTGAAAATGGTGCGGTTCCACTAATCACCAAACCAACCAGAATAACTCAATCAACATCTTCCCTGATTGATAATATAATAACAACTGATTTATTTAGCGAATCTCTTAAAAAAGGCATAATTAAAAGTGACATTTCTGATCACTTCCCTGTTTTCTTTTCCATTAATACTAAAATGGAAACGTCACCAAATATTTTGTAATAACATGTTGTTCGGCGAAACTGATTGCGTTGGTAAGAATGTTATTATAAAAAATGACTATTGAATGTTATTATAAAAAATGACGATAAAAAAATAATATATCATGCAAGAAAATCTTTAATTTTTAATAATGACGAAGCTTGGATAAAGAAAAGAGGCGGATTATTTGATGTCACAATGGGAGCATTTGATGGAGCTGAAGTTTGTGAACTAGTTGGTATTTTTATGTTGTTTCAGCTCTCTCAACATTACGATAAAAATACTTTTGGCTTGTATCGTGACGACGGGCTTGCTATTTTTGAAAAAAATAATTGCTATTTTGGAAAAAATCAAAAAACATTTTACACATATTTTTAAAAGTAACAACCTACTTATCTCCATCCAATGTAATATTAAAATTGTCAATTTTCTTGATGTAACATTGAACCTGATTGACAGTTCTTATCAACCGTATTGTAAACCTAATAACCAACTTATGTATGTTCATTCAGAGTCAAACCATCCACCTAATATAATAAAAGAAATCCTTAGCACTATTGAGTTAAGATTATCAAATATGGCAGTAAATGAAACTGTGTTCAATAACTCAATTATTCCGTATGAAGAGGCTTTACGTAAATCAGGATACAATTCAAAACTCACCTACCAACCGCAAATAAACAAAAATCAAAAAAGACATCGCAAACGTAAAATTATATGGTACAACCCCCCGTTTAGCAAAAATGTTGAAACTAAAATTGGAAATCGCTTTTTAGCTTTAATTGACCAACGCTTTCCAGTAGGACACAGGCTTCATAAAATTTTTAATCGAAACTATGTTAAAGTAAGCTATAGTTGGATGCCTAATGTCAAGTCTTTAATAAATACGCATAATAACAAAATTTTACATAGCGATAAAAATAAAGCATCAAAAAAATGTAACTGCATAGACAAAAATATTTGTTCGTTAAATAACCAATGCCTTTTTAGCAATATCGTATACCAAGCCACTGTAAGTTCTGGTGATCCTCAATGCAAAGATAAAGTTTATTTCGGTATAAGTGAAACCACATTTAAATTAAGATATGCCAACGATCTTAAATCTTTCAATGCACCCAAATATAAAAATGACACTGAACTTTCTAAAGAAATATGGGAGCTAAAATCGAAACATATAAATCCTGTGATTACATGGAAGATAATAGCACAATGTAAACCCTACAATCAAGCATCAAAAGTTTGTAATCTTTGTCTCCGCGAGAAGTTTCACATATTATCATATAAAGGAGAAAACTTACTTAATAAAAGATATGAAGTAATATCAAAGTGCCGGCATTCAAAAAAATTTTTACTATCCTTATTTGATACCGGGGACTAAAACCTTTGACGTCTTTTTGCTTTGTTTTGTTTTGTTTGGTAACGTCAGAACTCGTTCCACCGTAATTTTAATTTGTAATTTTTTAACGGTTTTTAAGTGACGAAATACACAATGGCTGATGATTGCCGAAAGGCATGAAACTCAGAGTTCCATCAAAAGTTGTTTTTATTCATTTAATATAAATAAATAAATATTGCTCTATTATTTAATAGTATTGAGCACTCTTAAACGCACAAGAGTATTTGTATTATTATTATTATACCATAATAATACACTTTCTATTTTGTATATATATATATATATATATATATATATATATATATATATATATATATAATATATATATATATATATATATATATATATATATATATATATATATATATATATATATATATATATATATATATATATATATATATTTATTTATTTAAATTAGTTTAGGTGCCCCAAGAAGTCCTTATAGGTTGTTCACACGAGGGTGCATTTGATGGAACATTCCGTGGAACATGAACAAATATCTTCTCGTGTGAACGCAAATGGAACAAAAATTCAAGGAACATTTGAGAAACTTTTGTACCGTCCTGCCAACCCAAAACAAATAAATGTTCCGGAACATTTAATTGGTTTTGTATAAAAAATGGTGCCTATTTTCAACTATTTTCAAAATAAGCGTATGCATATAAGCTAAATGATTCAATAAAAATGCATTGCAAGATGCAAATTTGTTGTGAAAGTAACTCAAACTATTTTTTTTACAAAGTTGTTGTCATCTTAACCAGAGTTTTTAGTCTTTGATCTCTGCATTGTCTTAGACCTTGGTCATATATCAAGACAAGATTATCGATATACTATTTGCCTTTCAACATGTTGCGTCGAAAAACTTTTAGTTTTTGTCTTCCATCTTTTTTATTGAATTCAAAACATTTCTCCGAATACAATTTCATATCTTTATTCATTGAGTAAAAAACTTGTGGTAATTTCATGCAACCAAGGAAATTTCAATCCCACTCGTGTGGGATCAATCATGAGTAGACCAGATGGTGGGCAATTATTTAAAAACAATTGTTTGACCATCACAAATTTCAAATTATTTTTAACGATATTTAAAATTTGTATAAATAGAATAGAAATTTAATTATAAGTTTACTATTAATTTAAAAAGAAGTCATTTATGTGTGTTTAAAGACCTAATCTTAAAATATAACATTACAAAGACAGTATTATTCTTATTAAGATTAGTTTTAATTTGAATTAACAAGAAGTATAATTCAAGGTAACATCTTACTTGCGTTAAGAAAGTTAAATTTTCATTGTTTAATAATTTTTATTTAATTATATTCTTTACAAGCATTGCAATTAATGCATTTTTAATAAACTTATAGTAATTTTATTTATAAAATTCAACTTTGAACTAATAAGCAGAGTTGTTTATGATTGGCCTTACCAACAGTGATAATAATAATAATAAAAATAATAATAATTATTATTATAATAATTATAATAATAGAATATTAATAGTAATAATAATTATAACAATAACAACAATAACAATTGTTAATACTATAATCATTATTATCATCATTGTTATTATTATTTATATTAATATTATTAATGATATTATTATTGGCATATATTGTTATATATGAGCTTTGTCATATATTTTATTTATATATCATATATATTTTATTATATTAGCTTTGTCTTATCTTGTTATATAAATTTGTGAACATTACATTAGTATTTTCCTCATACATATTCTGTATTTACTTAATATTAGTTAATTTACTGTTTGTGAATAATTGTGAAAGTAAGACTTTTATTCTGAATATATATTATTGATTGACTGTATTGATATGACTGTACCTTATATTTTTGTCACAATGTACTACAATTATTGACATTTAAAAGTAAAAATAAACAATAGTGTTTAAAGATCAATGTTATTAAAAAACATAATTATCGCATTGCATGGAAAAGTAAAAAAAAGTAAAAGTAGCATCTGAAAGTTTCTGTTCTCTTGGCTACCAGTTTTTGGCAATTTATGAAATTATTTAGTAAGCCCATAATGGTCTTTGCACATCTCCTTTAAATAAATTTGTATGGAATATGGCTAACACAAGAGTATTATTAGATTTATGGAAAGATAATTACAAAGCATTAACATCTGCAAGAAGAAACACAAATATTTACAAACAAATGGCAGCTGAATTTTCAAACACATTTAATATCGTACCTCCGTTAACTGGATATCAAATTTAATTTAAAATTAGTAATTTGAGGAAACAATTTAGGTATGCACATATTCTACATTTAATGTTTGATACCTTACTGAAATACTGAAAGTATTTTACAAAACTAACCATGTGTAATAATATCTAATTGCAATTTAGTTTGTAACTGAGTGTTATATTAAAAATTACTTAAATCTTATTCAGTATTGAAGAGTTACAGCTCGTTGATAATTATTTTGTTAATGATTCGTTAATTTTGTTAATTATTATTTCGTTAATAATAATTTGTCCATTTAAAGTTATTTGATTAATGTTATACGGTGTTAATGATGTGCTTATATATACTTAAATTTATCTATATTTATCATAGACGAGAAAAACTTCAAGTTGGTTCATCGGGAAGAGCTCCTAGTAAATGGTGGCCTTACGATATTGTTGCCAAAATAATAGGTGGTGAAGCTTCCCTTGACAATGACCTTTTATCTCAAAGTCAAAACTTTTCTACTCAAGATTTTCAAGATGGTCAGGTAAGTTTAGTATAATTTATTGTTGTATTTTTTAAAGCGCTATATATTTTTTAAAGTAATATAAACAAGCATGGTAACTATTTCTACAAAATAAGATTTAAGAGGTTTTTAGTTTTGCAACATTTGGTAGACAAAACATAAAGATCAAAAACATATAATTTAAATTTTTTGAACTAAAAAAGGGATCTTTTAATATTGGTTAGATCAATTTGTAAAATGCTATTGTATGCTATTGTCTAAATAGATCCTTTTTGTTTAGGGAAGGAAGGAAGTAAAATGGCTTTAAGTCAAGTCTTTCAAAGTCAAGAGATAAATTTTGATTGAAACATGATTTATAATCATTTCTCAAATGTGCAACTTTTTTAATGTGTGTATTTTAATTACAGATTGCCACGATGGAAGATGGCAAGGAGACTGTCAGTATTTTAAATATTGAAGCTTTGGATGATACAAGTGACGTGCAATCACTTGTCACTATTTCTGATGAGGAACCAACTCAATTTACATTCGGCTGCAATAAACGAAGGAACTCTGATGATGAAAAAACTTTGAATAAAATAGCAAAAACTGAACCGGTGAGAAAAAATAAAGAAAAAAATTTTTCTTCTCAATATCTAAAAATAGCAAATAAAAATCTAGATGTTCCAATCCGTTCACAAGAGCTACTAATCAGAGAGGTTGTTGCGATGCAATTGAAAATGCATCTAAAGCCCAAGTATATGTGTCTAAAGCCCAAGTAGAATATTATAAAGTTTTAATAAAAAAATAAGGTGTTCTATTAGTCAAGATATCTTTTTAGTAATTATGTTAAAGTTGAAAGATCAGTATTTTTTCAACAGCATACCTTGTTTACAATTATATGCAATATATATTTCATAAGGTTTTTCAATGTTTTAACTAAAGAAATGGTTAGTGAAATATTGTATAAGCTTGTAGATGAAGCTTTATTTATATATATTTTTTCATATTACCATATTACTATTATCAAAGGAATTTTTACTTTATGTAAAAGCAATCAAGCTTCAAGCATTAAAATGCATATCTGGTGGTATTTTTTAAATTTGTCAAGTTATTTTATAAATACCTTTTTTTGTATCTCTATGTTATATATATCTAGTATTTTTACTAAATAATTTTTTTTGCCGTTATTTACTAAATAATCGTTTTGGCCGTACTTCGATCAAGAAGTAGAACATTATTCAATGATGAATCAATCACCCACCCATTTTCATATTTAGATTTAGCTTCCTTTAAGTTAAATCAACAAGGGTATCTGATTGAAAGAAAAGTTTGGGTTAGGCCGAAAAGTTCTCAATGGTTTAATGAGATTTTTACTCAAATGAAGGAATGTGAATTTAAAGAGCATATTCGAGTAAATCCTAACACATTTATTTTCCTAGTTAATGAATTGCATCAACATTTAGGCAAAATGTTGATGCAATTACCACAACTATGCGAGAACCTATTTCAGTAGTAAAACGTGTTGCAGTTGCATTACATTATCTAGCTTCATGTGAAGAGTATCGTGTTGTGTCTAGCCTTTTTGGCATAGAAAAGTCAACAGCAAATTTAATTGTTCATGAATTTATTAATACTGTTAATGACATTTTGCTCCCTAAATATGTTAAATTTCCATTGTCAGTGGAAAATATAAATAAACATAGTAGAGACTTCGAAGCTATTCTTGGTTTTCCACAATGCGTTGGAGCTGTTGATGGATGCCACATCCTTATTTCAGCCCCTAATGATCAAGCAATTTCTTATTATAATTATAAAGGGTGGTATTCCATTGTACTTTTTGCCGTTGTAGACTGTCGATACCGTTTCATTTATACAAGTGTTAGATCGCCTGGTAGAAATAATGACAGCTATATTTTGCAGAATTCTTCTTTGAAAGCAATTTTAGAATCAAATCTATTTGATAAATATTGTAAAGAGCTGGGCGATTCTCTTGTTCCGCTATGTTTGATAGGTGATTTAGCATTTCCTATAACGCGTCATTTGTTAAAACCTTATTTTGAAAATTTGGAGCTTAGTGAAATTCAAAAAAATTTCAATAAAATACTTTGCGGAGCTAGAAGACTAGTTGAGAATACTTTTGGGCGCGTTAAAGCTCTATTCCGTGTAATTTGCAAACGTATGGAATACGATATTACCTTTGTTACAAGAATTATTAATGCTTGCATCACTCTTCACAACGTTTGTGAATATTATGACGATATTGTTATAATAGAATGACTTATGCATCATCATGATGACAGTCTAGCTCAACCCAATAGTTTCTACAACTGGGAACAATAGACCAGGAAAAAATGCTCGTGACTCAATTGCTAAATACCTTTATGAAAGGGACAAGTAAAGTAGTAATAATATTATTTATTATTTAAAGCTTTAGCTGTAATATGGTTATGTATTTAGTAGTTTTGAACTAAACTTATTTTCCTTGAGGTTATCAAATGTGTCTAAATAAATAAATATTACATATGTATGAACACAAAATGAGATTAGTTTTAACTGGTCGTGGGTAACTTATTAATGTATAATATGTTTATTCGGTACTATAACACTGATGGACTACTATTCTGTGTCGTCAAAAGCGACTAAAGGAGATATGACCTATCCATAAAAGCCAAGAAACGGGATAACAAAATTCCAACGTCACCTTTTGTATGGCGGGTATTTTGGGTTGGGTTTCTATTGTCTAACTCTGAGCTACCTGAACCCTCAGCGTTATTTGCATTTAGTTTTACCTCTCTTAAATGAATAAATATTAAAAATTAATAAATTATATTAACAATTTGTATTTGCCAAACTGTTTGTCACTAATTTTTATTCAAGTTTTGCTTACCGTTTTTTTACTCGTTTTTTCTTTTATAAGCCGTCAAGGCAATATATATATATATATATATATATATATATATATATATATATATATATATATATATATATATATATATATATATATATATATATATATATATATATATATATATATATATATATATACATATATATATATATATATATATATATATATATATATATATATATATACATATATATATATATATATATACATATATATATGTATATATATATATATATATATATATATATACATATATATATATGTATATATATATATATATATATATATATATATATATATATATATATATATATATATATATATACATTTATATATGTGTATATATATATATATATATATATATATATATATATGTGTATATATATATATATATATACATATATATATATATATATATATATATATATATATATATATTATATATATATATATATATATATATATATATATATATATATATATAAAAATATATATATATATATATATATATATATATATATATATATATATATATATATATATATATATATATATATATATATGTGTATATATATATATATATATATATGTGTATATATATATATATATATATATATATATACATATATATATATATATATATATATATATATATATATATATATATATATATATATATATATATATATATATATATATATATATATATATATATTGCCTTGACGGCTTATAAAAGAAAAAACGAATAAAAAAACGGTAAGCAAAACTTGAATAAAAATTAGTGACAAACAGTTTGGCAAATACAAATTGTTAACGCTAGATCGACTTTAAGTGGCCTTTTGTCAAAATCTTTACTGAAAGTGGCATTTTACAAAACCTTCGAAATTTTTTATTAAAAATGCTTTTATTAAACAAAACCAAGTTAAAAAGTAATCTTAAATGGATTTTAAGCGAACGAGAGTATTGTATGCCAAAAAAATGTAAAAAAAAAAGTCCACTTAGCGTTTTTTTATCAGTTAAGGATCCACTTAACGAAAATAGTAACGTTAGATCGACTTAAAGAGGACTGTTCCACATTTACTTAATATTTTATACAATAATCGAGGTAGTTTAATTTTCGAACGTAGATTTCATCAAAATTGTAAAGATGAATAAACATCGGGATTGTTAAGATAAATAAACATTGGCATTTATGGTATGATAAAGAGTTGGGTGGGATAATTCTTTTTAAGTAAGATTTATTGAGAACATGTGTAAACTTTTTCTAATCATAGTCGTGAAAAGAATTCTAATGACTATGGTCTAAAGTGGATTTATTGATAACATAATAGAAAATTCGTTTAAAATAGATTTATTAAAAACGCGTTCGTAACTTTGTCTTAAATGGGTTTATTTAAAACGCGCTTTAAAAACTTAATTTTGCTGAAACATGTATAAAATAAAACTTAAAGTGGATTTATTTAAGAGATGTTTAAAACTTCGCCTAAAGTGGATTTATTTCAAAATGTTTAAAACTTTACCTAAAGTGGATTTATTAGAAACATGTTTGAAAACTCAACCAATGTAAATTTTTTTAAAATATGTATGAACTTAGCATAAAGTGGATATATTTAAGAGATGTTTGAAAATGTTTATAAAAAGATTTATCTAAAATGTATTTTAAAATTCTCCTAAGATATATTTCTATAAAATTTGATTAAATTTTAGCTTAAAGTGGATTTATTGATGAGATGTTTGAAACTTTGCTCAAAGTGGTCTTTATTAAAATATGTATGAAAAGTTCGCTTAAAGCAGATTTATTTTAAATGTTATTAAAAACATCTCTTAAAGTGGATTTAATTAAAACATGTTTAAAAATTTGTTTTAAAGGGGTCTTTATTTAAAATGTATTTAAAATTCGTCTTCAGTAGATTTTTTTAAAACATGATGAAAATTTAGCTTAAAGTGGATTTATTTAATTTATTAAATACATGTTTGAACGTTTACTTAAAGTGGTTTACCTAAAATTTGTTGAAAAGTTTTTCCAAAAGTGGATTTATGTAAAACATGATTAAAAATTTGTATTAAGTGTACATGAAAACACGTGTTGAAAATACGTGTAAGTAATACGCGTAATACAAGTTTCCACTTTTATCTTTAAGGTAAATCGAATTTTCTCAAGTTAAAAAAATAGAATTTCTATGCGTTTAGAATCTAAACGAATGAAAAGTTCAATTTTCAACAGAGTTTTGTTTTTCTTTTAATAATAAATAAAACACAATCTTTTATATCTAAACTTTAGAGAACAAAATCCATTTAGATTGGTTATAAAAGGAAAAACAAAACTCTGATGGTATTTAAAATGTTTTTATTTCAGTTATTTTTAAAACGTTTGGGATTATAAACTGCATTGCTGATTGGTCATGTTTACGGAGACTGAAATCTTGGCCATAAAAATTTATGCTTCGACTCCTAACTTTCAATGTAACATGTTATTATAAAAATATTTTTATAATAAATGAGGCAACTCTTTTGTTACATATTATATAATTTATAGTATAAGAAGTACTAAAATTATTAGTAATTTATACTAATAATTTTAGTATTTCTCAAACGAAGTAAATGAAGTTTTAGTCACTGTTTAAAAGCTGTTCCGTTATTTAAAAGAAATTAAAAAAGAATAGATGGTTTTGGTAAAAAAAAAAAATATGTACCGTAGGGTCGTTCGAGAAAAGATCTTGATGATGTGAGGGGAGGGGGTTAGAAAGAGGGGCAATGTATCTGTTTTTTGCCAAATAAGAAAAAAAATTTTTTTTTGCAGACTAACGCAGTAAAACCACTTAATTAGGACCCCTTCTACCCCCTTGTACAAACCTGTACACTTTCGAAGACCCCTCCCCCTCCGAGTACGTACGCGATATTTTTTTTTTCAAAGTTACTCAATTTTCGTTTCGACTTTTTTTTTAAAGAATATAAAAAAAAAAAAATTGTGGCTGAAGTCAGAAAAATAACAATTCTGATTTGTTACACACGTGAAATTTAATGTTTAAAAAAAAAATCACCCCCCTCCCTCTTGTACGCGTTCGTACGCTTTTGGGAAACCCTCCTCCTCCATGCCTGCGTACGTACTTTATGGATGGCCCTTTAGCTAACATTTGCTGACTACAAATCCAATTTTGTTGACTCTAGTGTCAACTTTTAGTACCAAGTTCCTTTTCAATATGAAACTTATTTTAATAAAATTTTGGAAAATATTTTTTAATTTTTCACTTACATATCACATCAATGCAGACCTTCCAACTCTCCAGGTTTTGCCGTAAGACTCACTGTTTGATAAAAAATCTCACGGTCTCACGGTAAATCCAAAGTTCTCACGGTAAATTTTAAGAATTACATTCGCTCAAAACAATATAAATTACGAAATAGGTTGTCGTTACAACAAGAGCTAGTAAAAATTGAATGCACAAGATTTTAAAACGTGCACCAACAAAGAGCTTTTAACATGGGTTTGTTTATATTATAAATCAAATCCGATTTTTTAAAAAATGGCGACAAAGCAAAAACATAACAGCATATTTAGCTTAACATGGTACTCAAATTACCTGGATAGGGCAATGATTTTATGATAATCCGATTAAGTTTTTATTGATTAACAATTATAACGGTTTTTATTAAATAATTTAATTAAATAATAAGGGCTAATTCAGCTTATTTTGGTAACACTCAATGCAACTAAGGCTTGATACACGTTTTTCCGAACAAAAATATATATATTTATTCAATTACAATATAAGTTTTTTCATCAAAAAGTATGACATATTTGGTATTTATAGAAAGATTATTTTAACCATTATTATTTTCTGGTAAAAGTAATGCGACTATAACAAATTGTTAAGCGTAGTTTTATTTAGAAAAGATGCAACTTTTAACATAAAGTACCTTGGGGGCTGTCCATTGATTACGTCAACAAATTTGTGGCAATTTTTACCTTCCCCACCCCCTTGTCAACAACTTGTAAAACTTTCAGTGATTCCCCTATAATATTACATCAACATTCGATAATTCCCCTCCCCCCTTCCTCCCTCCTCCTCCTAAAAATAAACAAGCAAAAAAAAACAATGCAAAACAAAAATTAAGATAAAAAAAATTTTTTAA